CGTAACAATATAAACAAATAGTTCTGGAGATTAGATCTCAAACTTATTCTTTTTAAACTGCAAATTTTGCTAACATTTCCAATCATGACACTTCCACACATTATCTATCTTCGTATCGTCCATTCATTAGAAAGGAAACGAATAGTTGCTCTTACTGTGGAAAGGAGGAGAGGCGGGAAAAAAATTTCAGATTGGGTATGTTCCTAAATGTCCATGATAATGGGTTTTAGATATAAACATTTCTTTCACGTTTTTTTCTTTCATATTCTCAGTCCGGCTGCTCTGTTTCCAAAATATAGTATCTCCTCAATAACTGTGCAATATTGTTTCTTGAACACAGGGATCGCTTTTCTTCTACTCGTTTTTCGATAACGTACACGTATCATCATTATGTTACATGCATTATTATCCGGAAACACATTTTACTGCGAACGACTAGACCGCGAAAAAAAAAGGTGTGAAATATTTCTAAGAGGACAGATGGGAAACAACCAAAAAGTTTTTGTTAAATTTATTGAACACTACCCAACAGGATCCATCGACTATCATCCAGGGCTTACAGATTACAAGAATTATAAACAGATCTGCAATCACACCGAGTACTGTCCTGCTCTAACCTGATCCAAGAAAGCCATGAGATATCACAGCAAGAGCAAAGTAGACAGAAGACAGCCGTAGTGAGTCAAAGCAACGGCTTTCAGTACTCAATTTACGTCTACTTCTTAATATAAAATGAATTCTTTATCACATTAGTAAATAGGTGTTTTTTCTGTGTTGTAAAACAAGTGGAACATGTATTTATAAGTACTTTAGGTGTACATAATGTCAAACATGACGGCAGCAGTATGCCAGTAATATCTTAAGCAGTTATTTGAGTAGAAAAAGTCTTTACATCATATGAGAGCAAAACTCGATCTTTTCCATTTCTCCAACCAGTATAACTAACATTATAAAACTCTCCGCAACACCAACGTACAGAGGATATTGAGAATGTACAAGATCTTTATATTAATCTTCTAAGGCTTTTCAATAAAGCGTCGTGATTAAAACCGCCGAAATAAACTATAATAATATGAACATTTCGAAAACACCTTATGAAAACAATGACATGAGTAAAAAACGACACTGAGAATTAGAACTCGCATATATGGGGATTTTCTCACAAAATTCATAATAAATCACGAGGATATGTTAGTAAACAGAACATGTAACAAGATAAAAGCTATATTTAGAAAATCTGCAATTAACGATAAGAAAGAATTCTTAACACAAATCTATGTGGAGCATTTTCGTTGAGTTGAATGAAAATATGAGTTATAACTTGAAGCGAACAATTAATATCAAACACATTGAAACATATTTTACCTGTTCTGGGTGATGAACTACACCTGGATAGAAATGTCGTTCTCGAACGCGACATGATAACTATAATGAGTTGAGCGCTAAACTACTCGTTGCCATGCCCAAACCTAACTGAGCACTCAGATATTTGGTCTTTACTACGAATTAGTTCTCAAATATTTATCTAGCGGTTGATTTACGGAAAGTAGGTTTTGTTCTGATGGCTGAGG